ACACTGTGTAATGGAAATTAACTAAGACAGGAAGGTACAGAGTTTCTGGAATACATCATACTTTGTACACCAGTTCTTCATTTTTCTTTATATTTGCTGCATCACTGTTATTTAACTTTGTAAATCTTTATGCCATATAAATTTCTCTACCTCTTAATCTTGAGCTTGATGGTACAATTTGATTTTTCAGTGAGCTGTCTGCTAACCCTGTTGAGCAGATAATAAATTGTGCTTGGCTAGCTGATCTTGCCATCCTGTGCTTCTGGCTACCATAAGAATGTACCATAAGAATGTACAAGCCCATTCATCTTAGAATAGCAACAAGGAGTAACAGCAGATTAAATAATGCTTGTGCTTTAATGACAAGTCTTTTACTCTCATGAGACTTACCATAGTTGATATACAGATTCATAAATAAAATAAATGATCACTTAAATTCTGAGTTGTGGAATAGGGTTTCTCTACTGTGGTAATAACCTACCTTTATAAGATCTAATATCAGCAAAGGAGATGTCTCTGCAGCAGAAAGCTAATGTAGCCTATATCTTCTTAATATAAAAATTTTAAGTTAAAAGTGGGATAATTTTAACATTCAGAAATTTAAATTCTGGAGTAAACAATTATAAATATAATGAGACTTGAAATGTCGTCTTGGTAGATATTTCTTTTGATGAGTTTGTAGTATCTTTCTCTATCTTTTCTAATATTATTTTGTCTGAAGTCGATTTTGCTAAGTATTATAACAACTATACCAGTTTGCTTTCTAGGTCCATTTATTTGGAATATTTTTTCCAACCCTTTACCCTGAGGCAATGTCTATCCTCAATGTTGGGGTGTGTTTCTTGCATGCAGCTGAAGGATGGACCCTGTTTTCATATCAATTTTGTTTGTCTATGTCTTATTTTTAATTAAGGAATTGAGACCATTGATTTTGAATGATGCTAATAACCAATGATTGTTGATCCCTTTTTTGTTATATTGTTGTTGTTGATGGTAGTGGTGGTAGTGTGTGTGTTTGTGTGTTTCTTTCTTTTTTTTTTGATTTTGCCATTCTGAGAAATGTATATATTTATTTACTTATTTATTTTTATCTGTTATCTCATGGTTGTAGTTAACCTCCTTAGGTTGGGCTTTTCCTTCTAGTAACTCAGTAAGCGTATATTTGTAGAGAAATATTGCTCAAATCTGACTTATCATGGAATGTCTTATTTTCTCCATCTACGGTGATTGGAAGTTTTTTTCTGAGTATAGTAGTCTGGGATGGCATCTGTCATCACTTAGAGTTTGCCGCACATCTGTCCATACCCCCTTCTGGCTTTTAGCATCTCCACTGAGAAATCATTGTAATTTTTCTAGATTTGATTTATATGATTTTTGGTTTTAAACACTCTTCTATATACTTAGTATCTTCATTAATATCTGCCAAGAGAACTTATTTCTCCTTAGTTCTGTGTATTTGCCATTTTGTTTGTTTCTTGTACATTTATAGGTACCTTCATATTTAGGTTAAGGATTTTTTTCTATGATTTTGTTAAAGGTATTTTCTGGGCTTTTGACCTGGAATTCTTCTTATTCCTCTAGTCAATATTATTCTAAAATTTGTTTTTTTTTCATTGTTTTCCAGATTTTTGAATGCCTTTTGTGTTTTTAGATTTAATATTTTCTTGGACTGATGCAATTTTTATTTTGTATTTCCAATGCTTAGATTCTCTCTTCTACCTCTTCTTTTTTTCTCTCTTTTTTAAAATTTTTTATTGAGAAAAAGAAAAAAAAAGTTTCTGCTTCCTCCCAGCCTTCCATTTCCCTCCCCCTCCTCCCACCTCTCTCCCTCTCCCCCCTCTCCTCTCCCCCTCTCCAGTCTGAAGAGCAGTCAGAGTTTCCTGCCCTGTGGAAAGTCCAAGGTCCTCCCCCCTCCGTCCATGTCTAGGAAGGTGAACATCCAAACTGGCTAGGCTCCCACAAAGCCAGAACATGAAGTAGGATCAAAACCCCTGCCATTGTCCTTGGCTTCTCATCAGCTCTCATTGTTCGCCATGTTCAGAGAGTCCGGTTTTATCCCATGCTTTTTCAGTCACAGTCCAGCTGGCCTTGGTGAGCTCCCAATAGATCAGCCCCACTGTCTAAGTGGGTGGGTGCACCCCTTGTGGTCCTGACTTCCTTGCTCAGTCTGATCTCCAAAATATATAGAGAACTCAAGAAACTAGACTTTAAAATGCTAATTAACCCAATTAAAAAATGGGGCACTGATTTGAACAGAGAATTCTCAACAGAAGAAGTTCAAATGGCCTAAAGACACTTAAGGTTATGCTCAACCTCCTTAGCGATCAGGGAAATGCAAATCAAAACAACTTTGAGATATCATCTTACACCTGTCAGAATGTCTAAAATCAAAAACACCAATGATAGCCTTTGCTGGAGAGGTTGTGGAGGAAGTGGTACCATCATCCATTGCTGGTGGGAATGCAATCTTCTACCTCTTCTGTTAGTGAAGCTTGCCTCTGAGATGTCAGTTCAGGTCCTAAGTGTTTCGTTTCCAGGTTTCCCTCAGTATTGGATTTCTTCAATGATTTTATTTGCAAATTCAGAACTTGAACTATTTTGTTTATTTCCTTCAACTGTTTGTTTTTTTCCCCTTGCTTTCTTTAAGGGATTTGTCTATTTCCTTTTTAAGGAGTGCTGTCATCTTCAACAGGTGGTCTTTAGGTCTTTTTCTTATGTTTCAGCTGTGTTGAAATATTGCCAGGGCCTGCTGTGGTAGGGTTGCTGGCCTCTAGAGGAGACATGTGGTTGTGACTGCTAATCATGGTATTTTTATGCTTGCATCTAGGCTTATGTGGATGGGATGATTATAGGTCCAGGTGTAATATCTGGTCTTGTCTTTGTTCGTTGAGTGTGTTTTCCTCAGTTTCTTGTTTTCTCTCTGGATTTTAAGAGGGTATAATAGATGTGTGCTGCCTTTTAGAAAATTTTCTGTGGACCTGATATGTGTGATCATTGGGAATTTCAGGTAAAATGTATGTCTGGACACTGGAAGCTGATACTCGCTTAGGCTAGGTGTTTGAAGGTGTTGACGGAAGGGAGGAATGCAGAGTATACCACTAGGATCTGCTTATTTAGCCACGGGAATTGGAAAAAAGGTCTACCACCTAGCTGGGGATCAGATTGGGGGATTGTATATTGAGCAATGGGAAGAGAGGGATTTAGGAACTTACCATAAACCTTTAGCAGGCAACCAAGTACAATACCAATATCCTATGTTCTTCGCTGAACCTGTTGGACTTCCTTGACTAACAACTTGATGGGAATTTCTCTGGTCTGGTACCGTTTTTTTTTTTTTTTTTTTTTTTTTTTGCTGTTTTTAGATAAAATATAAAAGCCTATTGCTTGGTTCAAGCGGAATAATTTTGTTTAAACTATATTTGTGTATGTATGCACATATATTTATGTGTATTATATGTATCACTAGATAAATAAATAGTAATTTGATTCCTTATGATTTTTCAGATACCCTTAATTAAAATTTAAATAGACCTACAGACAGTTTAAAATTGGATTAAGTCAGACTATTTTCAACAGCTTGAAATTGTGTCTGTTTATATTGTTTTTGTTTATTTCTATTTCATTAACTTCAGTCCTAAATTTGTTCTGCTAAATGAACATAATAATAAAATTATTCCTAATAATATATTGCTATACCCATAGCCTAGTGATTTACTCAGTCCTCATTAGAGAAGCTTCTTCTTGTAGTAAATGGTAATTATACAATTACAAACAATTAAACAAGCACTTTGGACAATGTGCAGAGAGTGAGAGTTTTTGGAGTATTTGGCTCTAAATGGTATATTATTATCACACCCTTCCCCTCGAGGCTCAGGGATCTATGCAGAGGTGGAGGAGAAAGAGTCAGAGATGGTGGAGGACGCCAAGGAAATGCCATTTTCTAAGTGGAGGCATGTATGAAAACACAGAGAGTGTGACAGTAAGCACAAGACCTGTATAAATTCAAGTTTGGCAAAAACCCAGTATGGAAAAGAAGTAGGCGCAAAGTCTTACCCCTAATGAAGACTCTATTTACAATCAATAGCATCTACGAAAGGAAAACTTCATTTTCCTCAAAGGATTGTCAGTAGGTACATCAATCACAGTCCTGGACAGGCCTTTTGTTTAAAAGTAGCTACTTAACACAAAAAAGACTCTCTCTCTCTCTCCCCCCTCTGTATGTGTGTGTGTGTATACATGCATGCACACATACATATACACATATGTGCATGCACATTTTTTGTTTTGTTTGATTTCATATTTTAAATGAGATAAAAACGAAACAAAGTTGGTTGAGTAAGGAGAAATGAGAAAGGGATTTGATAAGATATATTGTAAAAGAAGTTAAAAAGTAAGACACTTGAAGAAGTAAAACCGTTAAGCACAGGCAATAAGGACAATGAATATTGGAGGGTTCATATTAAAGGAAAATGAATGGTAACTTGGATGAAGAGGCTGAAAGAGGGCTTGTATGCACAGATTTCTTTTTTTGAGACAGGGTTTCTCTGTGGCTTTGGAGCCTGTCCTGGAACTAGCTCTGTAGACCAGGCTGGTCTCTAACTCACAGAGATCCGCCTGCCTCTGCCTCCTGAGTGCTGGGATTAAAGGCGTGCACCACCATCGCCCGGCTATGCACAGAATTTTTACAGCAACATTATGAGCACATGTCAGGGTTATGAAAAAGACATCTTGAAACAAGGAGACTAAATGTCCAAGGGGAAGGTTTACCAAGTAAAGAAGGAATCAGAGAAATTTGAAAGGGACAGGTGGGGTGTCTTACTCAGTGTTACTATTGCTCTGATGAAACACCAAAAAGCAAATCGAGGATGGAGGAAAGGGTTTATTTCAGCTTATACTTCTAGGTAAAAGTTATCACTGATGGAAGTCAGAGCAGGAACTCAAATAGAACAGGAACCTAGAGGCAGGATCTTTTTGGTTTTTTCCTTTTTTTTTTTTTAAGCCTTGACCTTTTATTTAAAAAGTCGCACTTCAACACTTTCACAACAATTTTCTGCTCCTCAATAAGGAAAGCCCGCTTGATCCTGTCACGGCCACACTTGGCATACATGGAGCCACCATAGGCCCGGCTGACATGCTTCTTTGTCTTCGACAATCTCATGAGGACTTTCGGTCTCACAGCACGAACCCCTCGGAGTCGGCCTGGGCATACACCGTACGCTGATTTAGGTGCTTTTCCAACCTTCTTGGTGTAAAGGTAAACAATCCTGTTGCCAGGGGTTCGAGGCAGCCTAGTTTTGTTGGAGGCTGTGTTGGAGGAGAGCCTACGACGGTATGTCAAACGCTGGACCATTCTGAGTGCCTCTAAGCACCGGAAGAGGAAAAGGATCTTATGCAGAGGCCAGGGGAGGAGTGCTACTTACTGCCTTGTTCATCGTGGCTTGCTTAGCCTGCTTTCTTATAGAACCCAGGATTACCATCCCAGAGATGACCCCACCCACAATGTGCTCAGCCTTCCCCCATCAGTCACTAAGGAAGAAAATGTTCTACAGTCTTGCCTGCTGAACCTTAGGAAAATATTTATTCAATGTGTCAAGTTGACATAAAATTAGCCAGTATAGTTTTGGTCTCTCCTATAATGTCTTGGGATGGATTCTCTTGCTTTTAGCTCAAAGTACTGTAGCATTATTCTCTATTTTTAAGTTCTTTTAAATCTATGGGCCTTAATGCTTTCAGATCAACTTACCTTATGCCCTGTAAAGTCCATATTTTTATCCCAGAACCTATAATAATTTAACAAATATTTGTTAAACACACACTCATACACCTAAGTTATGCAGACATAATTAAAGATATAATTTAGAAATATCATTATAAAGCATCCCAGAATAGAAGATTCCCTGAAGGTGTGGCTTTTGAACCCCTTGTTAAAATGTATACAATATTTGTTGAGTATAAGGCCTTTTAAATGACAAGCACACCATTCAGACAGTCAAAAGTAGTGGAAGAACAATTAAAGAAATCTTTTTACTAGACTTGGATTACCAAAAATTCATTCAAATGAATCAGAAGAGACACTTATGGAAAGTGTTATGTAAGTTGATGGTCGGAAACTGAACTTCAAAAACTGAGCTTCAAAAGTATATGAAAAAAAAAAAAAAACCTCTTAACCCTACAAAATAGAATTATGTCAGCAAAAAGGCAAGTCTACCTTGGATCATTGAGGTCAAAGATTCTCTTAAATAATTCTTCACTTTTAATTTTATAAGTAACTAGGATTCTGTTTGTTTGTTTGGTTTGGTTTTGAGAGAATGTGTCATTCAACTAATTCTTTATATTCTGCCACAAAGAATGATGGGGGAGGAAAAATTCCCAAGAGACAGACCTGGAGTTTAGAGGGGAAGTGACTTTTCTCAGAACCTCAATGAAAGGGCATTTCCTGGACTCAGGTTCAAAACTGCTTGTAAAAAACAATGCCTGCTAATTATTCCTAGTTTCTCCTGTTTTTCTGTTCTTTTTCCAATACTATATAAGACAAATTATTTAACTTTTTACTTCATAAGACCCAGATCTAAGATTCACAATTTCTGGAGTTCACCCAAATCATGAAATCCTTGCCTACACACTGACTGTTGTATTTAGATAAAAGGTATGCAAATCAGCTTCTATAGAAAAGAGAAGGAATCAGATGTTTGAGGGGAGACATGCTTTAACTTATAAATACTCCGATAAAAATGAAACCACAGCCTGGTTATTAAAAACACTCTGAAAATCTAAGTCAGGATTTTAACTACTTAGCAACTCTTGGATAAACTTTATATCTAAATTGATGGTGGGATGATCAACAGTGAAGATATTTATGCCCAACCCTAATGAAAAGCCAGCTCACTAGAGATTTAGCATAATATGGCTCATGACATTCTCAATGGAATTATTAGTTTTAGTTCATTTTATACTCAATTTTGGCATGTTATAATAACTTAATTTCTATTCGTATAGTAGTAATGATTGCACATGAAGTTTTAAAAGCTAGTGAAATCTTCTAAATATATTACTGCTATCTGTAATATATACAACTACCATAAAAAACTCAGACTATGAGAATGCCCAGGTTTTAATGACACAATGATCGACTTATGTAACTATTCCAGCAATATCTGCTAATTTCAACTGTAAATTCTGGATAACAAACCTTTGTGTTACTAATTTTAGAAAACGCATATTATTAATTACAAAAAGATGGTATATTCAATAAGTAGTTTTAGTCCAGATGTTCTTTGGTTTCTGGAAAATGTTCAATGTTAAAGAATTTTTATTTGCCAAGTGGATATAATAGTTATGTAATAATTACTGTGATTTTCTGTTTTTAATTTTAGAGTAACCAGTACACCATTCTTTTTATTTTACTACATCTCTTGTAACAGCAGTTGTAATGTCCTATTAATCACTCTGTTGAAATTATCATGGTGGCAGCCCACTTAGCTAACATTGCAACATTTCTTTCAGAACTATATCACAAATTGTAAAAGAGGTCTGTAACCTTGTTTTTAACATGCACATGCATGTATACACACACACACACACATACACATCCACGCTTACCCACAAACACTACAAAGCTACACCATCAAAGCAAGAAGGTCAGCATTTCTGTACCATAAACCTTGATTACACAACAATGAAGAACTCTTGAAAACTTGTACAGATAAGTACAAAGGTTGCTGTGTTTTTAGACTAAAAGAAGCAAATAAAGAATTTAGTATGTAAGGATTTCTGTGCAATTAGCATAAGAATGATGCACTATTGAACCTTGAGTGTTCTCCTTTAGATCCCGGTTCAGAAATCTTGAAGTGCTGTGATTTTTAAAAGCGTGACTGTCAAGTATTTCTGGGATGATAACAACACAAGTAGTGTCAATTCCTGTCTATTGAAATAGGTGGGCAAGTGTCATTGTTCCAAATTCCTTTCTGTGCATTCTCTGGTATGAAGGCTTATATCATATGGTAAAGGATAAATAGTCAATAAAGATGAAGTAAGTCTAAGGATTGATAAAGGATAGCTCCCTTTTAGAGAAAAAGAATTGACCGTTCATATCGTAGCAGTTCTTGGCTACATAGCTAATTTTTGGTTTGCAGTAACACAAATGCTTGTCTATATTGAGTGTGCACACGTGCACACACACACGTACACACACACATACACACACAGAAACCCACACCACGCCATCACTCAGTGCTGAGAAACAGTGTATTTTCTGAGACTTATACTATGTAATTAGTATTATTTAATTGCTTCAGTTGATCACAATGGCCTATCAGTAACTGACAATTCCATGTACATGCAATTCAAAAATGCACTCTGTGATCTTTATAGTGCGCCCACAATTTCAGCATGTCCTTCTTTGTTTCATAACAGGCTGGCACTATGCTACTCATGTTTTTTTATGTGTTGAAAAGATTTGTCTTTTGAGATGTTATGTAGCTGAGAATTGTTTCTCTTTTCTTGGGCTCAAAACTACCTGGGGTGTTTCTATATTTCTGTCTCTATTAAAATAATTGTACCTATGTCACAAATTAATCATTCCTCAGTCATTGACAACCTTGGTTTTGGCAGAATGTTACTCTTAGGTAAGAAAATTGAATAAAAATCCTTATCTCAAGTGTGTCGACTCTTAATCTTTATTCCTTCAGTATATTCTATAATGAGTGGAATTTTGTGTAAGTAGAAGATGAGACTATCGAAAAGTACCATGGATCTCTAACTTCATGAATATCACCCTGCCTCAGCACTCGGCTTTTTTAAGGGAACCAGTTGGTCCATTGACCCCAAGAGGCAACTTAGTAGTTAGGCAGCATAAAATTTTTATCACATAGGTTAATTAGTAAGGTCTAACTAGTTAGGAGAAGTGTTGGGTTTAAAGGCATTTAATATGATTAGACTTTCAAACATTATTTGGTACATTAATTCGAATATGTAAATTGGCAAAGTCTAAGGGGCCTAGGCATGAAAAAAATGAGGGCAGATAGGAATAAAATTAAATTTTAAGAAGATATTAAAACAAAAATACACTACAATCTGGATTGTAAGAACCGAAATTAGGACTCTTCAGCCTATTAAAGCTCCCTGCTATTAGGATCTGAGATGACTAAAATAGGAGATTTATGAAAGTGCAATCAGGCCTGTGTTGAAAATTAGAAATTATCATCTTTTCTAGGCATTAAACCTAAATCCACTGAACAGTCCACTCTGTAAATTGTTCCCAATATTAAGAATCTTCATTCTTGAAAGATTAAAAGTAATACTAATTTATTCAAATTATAATTGAGAATTTTTGCTCAGTAACTTCTTTGGTCATTGAGAAATGCTTACTGACACCTGTGTGTTTATTTCTGCTTCCTCCACTAAACCATGAATAATTCAAAGTCAATCCAGTATGGAGACTACATAAAGGAAAAGAAAACTTTGTTTCAAGTCTTTAACACCTCAGCACCATTAAAATCAACGTAGGAAACAAAATTTAAGTATCATTAGAAGTATCATATTGGGTACTTCAAAATATATTTTCTAGTGCTTGTCACCATACTTAGGAAGTTAAAGTTAATATTAAATTAAAACAGATCCTGTTTCTATTACATTATAAATCAATGTTAGTATAATTCAATATCAGATATGAGTCAGTTAATTATGCTTTAGCCAGACTTCTAATATTTCAGAGAAGAGCAGATGTGAGCCTTCCTAGCACCCCATTAATATACCGAGTCAGTTTTCCCACTGCCTTCCCTAGAGCAGAGAATCAAAGCATATTTTCCATTTTGTTCCTTAAGCAAGCCCAATTGCTCCCTGAAGCACAAGATTTAATTATCCTTATTGCATTATATTTGCTTGAATAGCTATAGAAGTTATTAATGAGCATAACATTTTCTGATCTTTTTCATGAAATTCAGCTAGCTATGATATTTATGCTGATTTAATTACCTTAGCACATTAATTAGGGTAGCAAAAAGAATTAGGATTTAGAACTTAAAATGTAATCTATTTCTATTGATCATTATGGTAGGTGACACTTCGCCTAATGGGACAGTTTTGACAGAGTCAGGTGTGTGTGTGTGTGTGTGTGTGTGTGTGTGTGTGTGTGTGTATGACCAGAAATAATATGTTGGTTGCTTTCCATGCTAACTATGTGTTTATGAGACTATTGATCAAGAAGTTCAATAGATTCATAATGAATATTAGATTAACTATTAAATAGCTATATGACTTTAGGCAAATAATTAACATTCTGTCACTTTTATCCATTGTGAAGATACAAATGAAATAACTATAGTCTCTACACAACATTCTTTTATTTAGTAT